ATTCTTGCTGTTCCTCAGGATCCAGTCACTAAGCTGTCGTAGAGTGAGTCATTCACCATCTTCCATTTTGACTTTTGTAAATTTTATTTCGTTGGGAAACACTTGGCAATAAAAACCCATCTCTTTAGTTTCTATGTTGGCAATGTAGGCAAAAGTCTACGGGTTATTCAGGTGCGTCTACTTGAAAAACCCTTTTCGCACATAATGAAACAAGTTTTTTTACCTAAACAATCCTTTTCGTATATGGATACAAAACCCACCATCATAAAGTGTGGTCTGAGAAACTAATTTTTTATACAGTAAAATAACATATTTCTCAAACCTTTTTTTTACATACATTGATGCCAGATTGTGGGTAATTTCCCTATTTGAGGGATATTTTGCATCATAAATTATTAAAAGGGACATTTCATATAAATAAGGGATTTTCTTTTGACGCAGTTATTGTTGCATAATTGATCAAAATTCAAGAATATTCGACATTCTTACGTAATTAATCGTTCTGAAGATGTGATGTGGAGTGAAATGGTATATAACTGTTAAAAAGTATAAGGACAATTTCGAAAATTTTCTTACGTTAACCAATTCAAGCGCTGAGTAAGAAAGAATCTTTTCAGTTGTAACTGGTATTTCATGTAAAAAGAGGAACAATTTATCTGATGAAATGTTAAATAGCAGTTAGTGAGCAAAAAAATGAAAGTGAAAAATTGAATGAGTGAAAAAAATGCAGAAAAAGGGGTTTTTTCTTAACAGCGGTCGGCCCTCGGCAGGCAATGGCAAACCTCCGATTGTATTCCTGCCATGAAAAACACCTTCTCATAAAAATACACTCGCCATTCGGAGTCGGCGTAAAACTGTAGGTCCCTCCCCTTTGTGTGACAACATCAAGGGGACCGCCACAAATTGGAGGAAAAGCACATATGTATGTGTCAGCTCCAAACTATTATTATTATTTTATATGAATTTTACTTCTTTACTACTGAAACATGTATATGTTTAAATTCGTTGGGAATTTTGTGGGATAAATTTTCAAGATGTGGGTAATTGAGGGATGAGAATGTCTTGCATCACTGTTTACATACTTAAAATAAACATATTTTTTTTGAAAATAACAATAAAGTTTTAGCCAGATTAAAAGAAATGTGTGGGGGTATGCTGCTGTTGACGTACGTATAATTTTTGTGCTGTTGGCATAAAGGTAAACCCGAACTAAATTTATTTCTGTCCAAGTACCGATCCCCCCCGTACCTCCATCAATTATTTCGTCGGGAGACGGTTTGAGCACTAGGCACGCACGTTCGTTACAGTCGGTTGTACTCAGTTCAGGGCTACACCTAGAAGGTTTTGTCATATCTTGTTTAAGGAAAAATTCCATTTTTAAGCTATATATTTATCTCTTAGATACAAATACAACGTGCCATTTCGCTCATATAAACAGTACGAACAAATACCTAAAAATTATGGCATGCTGCTGCTTTTTTGTCACTGGTATTGCATACATATACATATGTACTTACTATGTGCATATCATCAATATCCTTCATTTATAAACAACTAGCTGTACCCTGCCATGATTTGCTGTGGCACATTCCTATTACATGGATGATAAATTATTAACGAAACAAAGCATACGTTTCATATAAGTTTAATTTTGTAATAAGTACCTGTGTGCACACAACATTTGTCTTTTTTCACAAAAAAAAAAAGTAAGTGCGCCTGGGCCACACTGGAGAAGTGAAACTTACGCTACATATCTATTTTGTCCCATAACCAATATACATACATGCTTTTTCTTAACCCTGTGAGAAAATCTCTAGTTCTGAACTGGTGCGCTTCTAGTACATTTAGACCCAGTACTGGTTCGCGATAAATCTCTTTTGCATGCCAGCAACTGGCGAATTTAACATGGCGATGTCCTAGGAAGTGTCAATTGCCCCCCGCTGCATCCCTTTTTCGATAGTTTCGAACTAGTCCTAAATTCTACAGTTCCGAACCAGTTCTAAAATCGACAGACGAAAAAAAAGTATTATGATTTTTCAATCTTTTTGGTTCTTCCTTGTGTGCGATTTTAAGTTTTATTGGAAGAAATGTATTTCAAATTTGAAATTAAATTTGTTTGAATGATTGTAAGAAATGTACGTTTACATACCTTTAGCTGTAGCTGAGTTTGCAGAGGAGCTCGCTGTTATTTCTTAGATTCCAGACGGTCCCAAGATGTTGAAATGTTAACACAAATTTTAGTTTCGTATTACCAAACTATGAAAAAGCATCTGCGAAGCACAGAATAGAAGCGTATTTGAACGAAAAAGCCGCCGAACAAATATCTATGTATCCTATCTATGTATGCATCCCTTATTCGATAGTTCCGAACAAGTTCTAAATTCGACAAATAAGATCTAGTTCGTTCTGCATCCCTTTTTCTATAGTTCCGAACCATTTCTAAATTCGTCACTTTAGATATAGATGTCTAGTGAAAAAAACTGAACAAAACTAGTTATTTAATAGTACCACTTTTCGCCGATTTTGGACTGGTGGGTATCTAGTACATATCGGACTAGTTCCTTTTTGGCGATAAAGACCTAGTACGGAACTAGAAATTTGTTTCACTAGTCCGCGGTTTCCCTGCAGGGAAGGTTCAATTTTTTGTCTTTTTCTATCTATGTACATAGATCCCGAGGTGTATGAAACAAGGTGGTGTTGGGGCGACAGCCGAGTTTTTCGCCGTGGAGGCCATTACGTCAAAATGATGTGTTTGTTGTAACTCATACCAATGACAGTATGGACATCAGCGTATAATTTGTTAGTGTAATTTTTTACTTATATGCGGCCAACGCGACCTTGTTAAATACGCCTTGATAGATCCCTACCTCCCTGTTCGTTCTAATTACATTTACGTTATTCTGTTTTCCTTTATCTTCATTTTTATCTTTAAGGCCAGTATGTTGCTCTCAAGAAAAGCAAAAATTCCATATTGAATGACGTACAAGAAATGGCTAAGAAATTTTCTTGTGTAAAATCTTCTTGAGGCAATACGCAGTTCTTAAGAAATTTTCTACGCTTTCTACTACGCATTTCTAAAGTTTTTTGTGAAAAAGGACAAAGTCAACCCATGCTTGCAACAGAAATATATGCCCGTTCCACTATTTTTTGAGGAAAGAGCGAGGCAACAGGCTGGTGAAGTATCACCAAAAAATTCCTTGGGAACATACTCGAAATACTGGAAATTTTTTCTTGACCGTTTTCTTGAGAGCTGCATACCAGCCTTTATACTCACTCGATAACAAAATCGATAGTAACATCCATCAAAATATCGATAACAAAACCGATAAAAATATCGATAACAAAATCGATGAAAATTCGATAAAAATTTCGATAGCAAGATCGATAATAATATTGGTAGCAAGACCGATTAGAAAATCGGAAAAAATATCGATAACAAAATCGATAAAAATATCGATAACAAAATCGCTTAGAAAATCAATAAAAATATCGATAACAAAATCGATAAAATTATCGATAACAAAATCGATAAATAATCGACAACAATCGATAAAAAATATCGCTTAGAAAATTTATAAAAATATCGATAATAAAATCCATAAATAATCGACAACAAAATGGATAACAAACTCAATAAATGATCGATAACAAAGTCGATAACAAAATCGATAAAAATGTCGATTATTGTATCGATAAGTCCCGAGAATCTCGAAAATCTCTAAAATCCCAAAATAGCCTCCATTTATATTCTTTTCTCGATAATTACATTTACATATATTAATCTTTCTTCCTCTATCTCATCTTTACTTTGTTCGGTATCCTTATTCTCATATTTTTCCTTATATTTATCTTTGTTTTTACTTATATGTTTATCATTTTCTTCATCTACATATTCCCCTTCACCTTTGCCATTATATAAGTAAAGTATTTAAATTGATCTTCATTTTTGCCTTTATCTTTACACTACTTTGTTTTTATATTTACCTTTTCTTTAACTATGTACGTACTCACATTTACTTTCATTCTTGAGTTGGTCTTTTTCTAAGTGCTATTCTTTAACCTTTTATTAGCAAGTTTTTGTTAAATTAATACCATATGCATAAACTCAAGAAGTACTTGTTTCAGCCCCAACCATTTCCGTTGCATCATTTCCGTGTGCAATTTCCGTTGAATTTGCCAATTTACTCCCAACCAACCAACCGCCGCTAAAGAAGTTTCACTTCAAAAATGTAGGAGATTAATTGTTTTCATTAAAATTAATATTTTAATACAGGAGAAGACTAATCGTCAATATTTGACGCGGTTTAGGATGAAAAGTACAATTTGTTTGGAAATTTTCTACCAAAGACGTATCTGATGCTATTTACCAATACTTGTGTGCCTCTGTACATATATAGGTATGTATGTTGACACACGAACTTACATGCATACATTTGGAGAATCAAAATAGTGGCATCTTACCACCCCCACCATTTGTTTACCAAAGTACAAGCTTACTAAATAAAATGGTTTGATTTGACAACGACTAAAGAGCATAACAATAGCGCTCTCTCACTCACTCGTCTTCTCTTGGTACGAAATCGTGAGCGCTAAGGTACAGCATCCGTTTGAATGCATTTAAATGCCGTTGATTAACTGTAAAAGTACGAAAACTACGAAAACCGTACGACGAATGAGATGATATATGTATATATGGTTCTTGTTGTTGCTTCGTAATTTTACTTTAGTTGATTGTTCATTCTTAATAAATCTGCTATTGTTATTGTAATCTGTATCTGCAACTCTCTGGGGCTGCCACAGTTGGTCTCTCGGAGTGCAGATATGCGTATGTATGTATGTACATGCATAAGTATGTCTGTGAGTGTTCTTTTCGTTGATTATGTGTATGTGGTTTGTTGGTTGATTGTTTTTGCTTTCGCCTGTTGGTTTTGCTACGAACTTGAATGTACATATGTATGTTTCAAACACATGCGAATTGTGGTGGCAAATTGTAGTGGACCCGGCGATAGTAGTTGTTGCAGGGCGTTTGCTGCGAGCGAAAGTGTTGGCAGAAAATTCTACATACGCTACTAACAAATAGCTCTTACTAAGCTGTGTTGTCGAGTTGAAGTGTTAATAGTCTTATAAATAAAACAAATCATTGAATATAACTATTTTTTTAGTGATTGTTTTGCTTTTAAAATTCACAAGTGAGTGATTTTATTAAAATTTTTAATCAGCTTGCAACAAAAGTTTTGTGTTGTTTTTTTGATATGGGGTAGTTGTTTTAGTTGTTATCATTGTTACTGGTATTTTCTTGTTTTGTTTTCATTTTTGCTGTAGGCTGTTGGCTGCTGGTTGCTGATTGTTAGGTCACTTTCTGCTGGCATTTGTTGTTAATTGAAATAAATTGAGTTTTATTGTTGTTAATAAAATCGCACAGTTGAGTGCCGTCATTCCAAGGAAATCAGCATTTTAAAACATATTTTTATCAGTAAAAAGTATACGACTATGTTAGCTCTTGTAGTTTTGCAAATGTGTATGCATAAATATGCATTATGTATCAAAATAAATACATACATACATATGTACATATGCATATCGTCGTTTAAAGTACAAAACCGCGTATCAACAAAATACAAATGAGGTTGCATAGTTAATTTCTAGATAGTAAAAACGCTCATATTTTAAAATGGTTCTCTTTTTTATAAAGCAATCGCATTTCTGGCTAGTATATTTTTGGACAAATGGATAAGGATTGAGCCAAGAGCTTGTGTGAGCAAATCCAATGTTTGGTAGCAAATGTCAGTTACGCGGTTTTGTACTTTAAACGACGATATGTATATGCAAGTACGTGCCCTTTTTAAATCTTTAGTATGCATGTGAAAAAATATACATTGGTACATACGTAAATATCTAAATATCTACTCTAAACACCTTCGCCCAAATAATTATCTGCAACAACGGCAAATGCGCTCACTTCATTTTTTGCTTCACCGAGTATCACAGCACCGGCATTTGTATATTTTTAGTTTGCAACATTTTACAAATACGTTTTTACTTTCAACTACCAACAACAAGTGCCACGGAATTTTGCACCAATGCAACAAGCTTGGCAGTCTCCAATATCACCGGCTACATGTGTACGTATGTATGTACATTATGCTGCATCACCAAAAAAAGTTGCGGTTCTTTCGCCGGGATTACAAAATCTATTATATTTAAGACGTTCACCAAATCATTATGGTAAAATATTTAGATTTACGTGAGCTGGACCGATGTGAAATTATCTTCAAAATTGGAGTTTCTTATGAATAAAAATAAATTCTCAAAGAACTTTTTGAAAAAATCCCCTTAGATGACAAGCTATTTGAAGCATAAAAAATCTGCATAAAAATATGTCAAAATTTTTTCAACGGAATCGTAATGATGAGATTTTTAATGCTGTTTTTTTTAAAGATTGGTTTAAGAAAAATTTGAATAACCGAACCAAAACTACTCCGATTTAGACTTATGGAGTATCAGTGGAAAGGTATTTTCACATTCTTTTTATTCATTATAAAATCATTTGCGTTAGATCCTAATTCAACTTGGAATGACGCTCGTTCATCCTTCCTTTCACTTTCATACTTTGAATTAGTATTTGCAAAGAAAAAAAGGGTAATGAAACCTCATAAGTCTAAATTGGATTAGTTTTGGTTCAGTTATTCAAGTTTTTTTATACCAATCTTAGAAAAAAATTAAAAAACAGCATCAAAAATCTTATTATATATTACGATTCCGATGAAATTTTTTTTTTTTTAATTCTTTAAGAAACTATTTTTATTCATCAAAAACTCCATTTTTGGAGGTATTTTCAAATCGGTCCAGCTCAAGTACATCTAAATATTTTTCCGAATTTTTTTGGAGAAACTTAAAATATAATAGATTTTAAAATTCCAATGGAAACACAGTACCGATTATTTTTTGTATGGGGATTGATGCAGTCTAATGTACATATCGTCGTTTAATGTGCAAAACTGCGTATCAACAAAATCCAAAACCGCGTATCAGCAAAATGCAAAACCGCGTATGTGAAGTTGTAGAAATTATTTCCTAGAGTATAAAAATACTCACATTTCAAAATGGTTCTCTTTTTTATAAAGCAATCGTATTTCTGGCTAGTATATTTCAGGACGAGTGGATAAGGATCGAGCCAAGAGCTTGTGTGAGCAAATCCAATTTTTGGCAGCCAATGTCAGTTACGCGGTTTGGTACTTTAAACGACGGTATGACATTAGATATATGACCTTTTCTTAAATTAAATGTACATAGATACCTATGAGGAGTGGATGACGAAAGGAAAAACAAACAAAAATAACGTTTTTGCAAAAAAATGTACTGGAATTTTGATATCTTGTACTGAAAAAGCATAATTTAATTATAGAAAAAAGTCATTTGCCTAAAGAATATTAGTTCATTTTCATTTCAGAATTTCTGCTCAGTTTTAAGTAGTCAGAGTGCAAATTTCAAGTCACTGAAAATTACCATTGATTTTTGTTTGTAGAGGGTGTTGCGCGTTTTCATCCATATAACGCATAATAAAAATCTATTTGACATGGAAGAAAAGGCGCAACACCCCCCACCAAAGAAATTCTAAAACATAAACGGCAATTTTTAGCGACTTGAAACTTGCACTAAAATTGAACGGGCTACAAAATTGCAAACTCCAAAATTTTCTTTTCCTTATTGAAAAAAGAATTTCATGAAAATAATTGTTAATATTATATTAGAACAAGGTGTACACTAACATTCGACACTGACTATAGGTATGTACATATTATTATATGGTAGACAGATGAACAAAATTAATTTGAATTAAGAAGCACA